AGTCCGCCTTTTTGAAATACCGTCCCCCCCCCCCCCCCCCAAGTCTCTGCTTGAGCATTCAGGGTCCCCACAAGGAGTTTTTCTTCTGATTAGCCCCTTTCTCTTTTCGAGGCCCTTGCATTGTAGCTACAATCCTTCCATGGGATTCCTTTTGTGAACTGTCAACACTGCTCCTTCATTTTCCAGAGAGGTCAATATGAGATGCTCCCAGCACAACATGAGTAGTTAGGAGGCACAAAGGCAGAACAAAGGCGAGGGCCGTCACTTCACAAGGCATAAGATGCCATTTTTCCAGATGCCTGCGTCGTAATTATACCTTGATTAGGTACAAACTTAACAGGCACAAATTCTGAACCATGAACAGATGCCATGGTGCTGATGCCAAACAATCGCATCCTTTTCAGCTCTCTACTTTGTGCTTTGTGTCTTGCTTAGGCGACTTCTGCATTTGACCCACATTTGTTCTTTAGCAGATAGAGGCACCTCCTAGCGTGCTCCATGAACCACTGTTGTTGGCCATGAGTGCTCTTGCTTCTACAGCTTCAGTCTGAAAAATCTCGTGAACTAGACTCAGACCCACTCTTTGCTAACTATACAGCATCCCATTGCAGTGGTCAAATAAAACTAAACAAACAGTTTTGCCCCAAGTTTGAAACATTCACTTGTTAGCGTTCAAGTGCAACTCTCACTCTGCAGCCTGCAGTTTTTGCCCCTCACTTCTTGCTTAAGTGAGGGCTGGAGGATTTGGCCTTCAATTTGTTGAAATAGGCAGCATAAATTAATTTAGAGAAGCAGTGTGCTCCATAGCCATAGGGCCCATTAGTAACAAAATGAAAATGCTGGCCTGATTGGGGATGGGAAAATATCTTTAAAAATAAAATGAGGAGCGAGAGCTTATTAGCTAGCCTGTGCAAGGAAGAGCTTCCTTTAGAATTCTGAGCGCAGCCTGAATTAGAAACATTTTAAGCCACGTCTCTAAAATAAATTGCAAGAGCAGACCTGATTCTGATCCATTTGTACCAGTTTACACCAGGGTAAGTGAGATCGCAATTGGACCTCCACCAGGTTTTGTTTGTTTCTTGTAGCCTCATGGCTTTCGGGATGTGCAGCCTCCACCTCCAAGCCAAACCCCCGAAGGATCTGAAATGAACCCTCACAAACGGCCACGGATAGAAGAGGACAAACAGTAGCGTTTCAGAAGCTAAACTTTGCTAAAGATGTTCTGTATGGAAATGTTTATACTACAAACTTGGGACCAACCCACAGGCACCCAAGAGACTGGTTTTTAACCAAAATTGTTGCTTCACAAATTATTCTCATATTAAAGCCAGAACATCCGTGCTTGCTCAGATGTTTAGTTTTAACGTGCCGTTGGCTTTTTTAATAAAAAATTGAAAATGTTTTCTACAAAAAGGGACTTCTTATTTGGGTAGTGAATGTTATAACACAGTCCTACTCTGAGCACAAAAGAACCTCCTACTCCCTCAGGGAAACAATGGCATCCACTATGGGATATCTAATGACAGGTCTTGATTTTTCCTTTTTCTGTGTGCGCTGAATTTCCAAAGGGCTTCACGTAGCAGTTTGCTTACATGCATCAAGCCAGGGACAAATTCAGTGAGACTTATGCTTGTGTTTCAAAAGTTAAGCATATGTATATGTGCTTTGCTGAATCAGGTCTTTGGCCATTAGATAGTGGGGAGTCCTGGACCAAAGAACTGTAGCACTGTAATCAACATCCCGTTTATCTGTTACTGGCCACTGCAGAAACAGGACACTGGACTAGATTGATATAAGATCTAGTCCAGTCTGGCAATGTCTACAGTCTCTCTTGGTGAATAGGAACCCTTCTTTGCCACGTATCTCAGCTATGTGGCTAGACAACCTTCAGCTTCCATGCTGCCCTTTTTCAAATACAGGATTTAGTATGGAAATTCCAATTACAATGTCAGAGCCTGTTTTGTTTGTGGTGCTAATTTAATTTAGAAGAGAGATGGGTTTCTCAGAAGCCAGGAATACATTAGCAGCTCTAAAATATAAACCAAATGAAAGAAACAGCTCTGCCTACTGCGAATAACCAGCAAGAATCTGTTCTCTTTCACAGAAAACAAACCTGTAGTAAGATTATAATGCAAGGGAAAAATATCTCATTTTCAAAATTCAAAATATTAATTATTGTCAATCTATTGGGTATCAATAGTCATAGTATCTGGGTGAATTTTAGGAGGTTTATATATAAGAACAAATATTTCCCTCAACAGAGGCCACTGTATGTCTTACACACACACTCTCTCTCTCTCCCCCTCCCTTTGCAGCACAGAAATTGATATCAGTATAGCTGGGAAAACCTAGCCAGCAGACTAAATGTGGGAGTCAGCATCTCTAATTTTTAATTTGGTAATTCACACTAAAATTGACTTTGCCTTGAAACAGAATTCAGTGTGGAATATGAGTCATAAAACCTCTCTATTTAAAATGCCAAGAAAAGAGTGGCAGTGATTTTTGGATCATTATAGTGTTTAGATATAATTTGCATAATAAAATATTCCAGGGAAAAAAAATTAAATTGCCATTCTGAGAATTGGGCTTTGTCGAAATTTAAAATCCATGAGTCAGGGAGAGCTTTCCAGCAGGAGTGACACAGAGGAAGAAAGACGGCGGCACTTGTGACTCAGACAAACATTTCAATGCAGGAGACACAGGCAAACAAAAGGATTCTACTGCATGTGATGTCAGCAAGCAAATGCTTCATCTGGGAATAATAGCTTCCTACGTATTGCAGTGCCGGAGGAGGGGGGAAGGTCTGATACAGAATGCATGCCTGCATAGCTATATAGAAAACTGCCCTGGTTAAGGGGATCACAATCACATTTTAAAAAACACTAGCAATGGCTAGTGATGCACGTACTGATGGTAGCTACGAACTGTTGTTATATTTATGGAAAACATCTATTTCAGTCTAATTAATTGACCTTTCTCTACTTTTAAAGTATGCAATACTTTCTTCCTCCATCTTCACAGAGAATATTGAAAGACCTGTCTGTCCTCCTTTTTTAATACGAGTATCAGCTGGCCACACATTTTTATTACAGCACTACAGTGCTGTACAGTACAGTAGAGGTCCCAGCTGAGTCCGCAGTGCTGTTTTATGATAGTACAAACTGTTTTGTTTGAGTAATATATGGGTGTCCGAATATTCTAGAAGTCATTGTCGAAATAAAATGATAATATAGTGATGGGCTAAGAGTAGAAATCAGAAACCCCTCAAGGCTATATGAGGGGTTGCCTATACCGGAAAGTTTTGCAGGTTTCTGAATAAGTCACACTGGTGCAATACAATTTTTACACCAGAGCATCATGTGCATTGTAGGGGCTTGCAGTGCTGCAATTACATTGTTATAGCTACACCATAGCAAAATTCCCCAGGGGAGCCCAGCCCCTGAGAAAAGCATCTGATGGTTGAAACAATGCTCAGTTGGCCAGACTGTATTTTTATCTGTGCCAGAAACACTGCAGGAGACAGTGGAGCACCTCCAAATAACACTTGTGTAAGAGAAGATTTTGGCCCCTTATCTCAACAGTTAATTACCCTGTGTGAGGTGTTTTCTTCTGTGTGTATGAATGTGGCTAGAACTCTCTTTTGTATCTCATATATTATTTCAAAGTATCCCTGTGCTAAACAAAATGGCTTAAAAGGCAATTTTACAACTGCATGAACTAAGAGACTAACTCTCCAAGTTCACAGCATTCATCCAAAAGTAAAATCTCATCTTGTTTGGTTTGTTGCTAAGATGCTGTTTGTCTCAAATACAGAAACTTTAAAGATCATGCAGAGTTTACTATTATTCAATTTGGTACTTACACATAACACTTACTTATGGTGTGAGGAGCAATTATGTCACTACAACAAGGCTCCAGTCTCTACCACAGGACTTGGCAATAAAAACAGTGGCTGTGATGCGCCTCTCCCAGCAACAGAATGCTGCTTTGAAATTCTTTATTTTGGGAAGAGAAAATGAACATTTTATTTCCTCCTGACTCTACGAGGTCTCTGCTTTGAAAACAACTTTCTCCATTAGAAAGCACTAGGAAACCAATTATCTTCCAAGGAGAATAAATGTAAGAAGCATGGGGAGGAAATATGCTTTGACGATGGGTGTGGCTGTGTGGTCAGGCTTCAAGTTATGGGACCAAACCTGCTCCCATAGAAGTCTATGTCAAAACTCCTGTTGACTGCAGAGGAGGAAAGATCAGCTCTTTTATTTGGAGGGCAATCCTGGGAACAAAGAAATGCATCAGCTCTCCTGCTGGATTCCAAGTACTGTTGCGTTGGTAGTGATCAGCAGCCAGCTATGGTGGGAAAGATTTGTATAATGTCCTAAGACTGGTCAGACTCTTAGTCAAGGTCCTATTAGATGCCTGTTCCCCAGCCAGGGGAACAATACTTTGAAATACTTTGTTCTAGGAAGCATAGAGGTAATTCAACATCATCTATTGACATGAGTTCTAAAGAGTTGCCTTGGAGTCTTAGAAAGGAACAACTTTCCAGACACAGATGCATAGGAATGTCCTAAGATAATACTGATTGTGGTATGATGACATTAAAAACTGGTGACTGAAGGTATCAAGCCAAAAGACTTTTGAAATTCTGGACTCAGTTTTCAAATAAATTTCTCATCTGGAAAAAGTAGTAATTGCAGTTGATCAGAGACTAAACCCAGAAAGTGAACTGGAGCTTGAAATAACTTGTAAACTAGGGTCTTCTCACTGTATTTAGTTAATTCAGTTGCTGTCCTTGTTCTCAGCCAATTTATGTCAGTTTAGTTATGAAGAGGAGTGATAGTCTCACTGAGTTTTGAGAGGCATAACAAGAATTACGAATATTTGCCTTGCTTATGGAAAATATTTACTATATTTGTGTATTTTTGTGAAGTAAGTTTTTTTAACTGCGTTCATGTCTTTCATCTTATGTTAGTAAGATATGTAAACTCAGTACTGTATAAAGAATTTGAATGCTATGCAACAGTATATTAGAAATATATGCAATGCTGTTATTGACTTAAGCTGGTCAAATTCAATAACAGAGCTCCCTATTAAAATGAGAATCGCATATTCTACGTGCAAAATGCTTGGTGACATTTGCTTTGACACTGGCTCCATTTGACCCCAAACACACAAATTTAGCTTCCAGAATGCCTTGTTGTTTGTTGTGGAGGCCTCTGCTTTTAAACAAATCACTTCAGAAAAACAGTCTGTCTAGTCCTGTGATGTTCATCAGCATAGTATAAAAATATATCACATAGGTATATTAAAGCACCTCCAAATACTCCCTGATGTTCCCAAATACTTTCTACATGCCAATGTGCTAGAATTTTTCTTTCACAGTTAAAAAGAAGTACTTCTTTGTGCACTTCCATACAATTCAGGTCACCTCCCCAAGGCCTGCTCAAATCCTGCTACACTATACTGCACTTGTACTTCTGCTTTTTATTCAAGACAGACATTAGCATTTTGACCACAAGGTCAGGGTGTGGGTAATGTTAAAAAAGGCTTTTTTCATTACTTCTGACATGTAATTACATCCTTGTCATCTGGAGTTTCCTACTTTAACCATTTTGCTACAAATTTGTTGATAAATATGCCACACACCTCATTAACTCTTTAAGTAGGGATGATAAGTATCAGAGTGTAAATGTCAGTTTTACTAACATAGTTTTCCATATATGCCATTATAAACCTAATTTGTTATGTAAAGGGTCTCTGAAGGTTGGATATTAAAAGAAGACTTTTTTAAAGGTACACATTAAAGGTGACCTGGAAAGAAATAAAATCATGTTTGTGCCCTTTTTCTGCTCCTATGTAATGAGCGAAGAAAGCTTGAAAGGTGGAGGGTTGATTTCTTGTTTTTAGAGGGTGGAGAGAGATAACTTTTACTTTCAAACACGATGTCTTGCCTACTGTGTGTGTTGAGCAAGACACCACAGGCCACTGGGCTACTGGTAGGACTTTAATAGCACACATGCCAGGGATGAATCTTGAGCCATGTACAGGAGTAAAGAATATACCGTCAGACTGCTTAACATTTCTTGGGGCAGGTTCTGGTCCCTTTGTGCTAGTCTGGAAGAACAAAGGAGGTGGATCTGCTCTGCTGACAATTTCACCAGCACAAGGGGAGCTCTCAGCACACCAGCTCCTGAGCTACCAGCATCCCACTCCCAACCACAGAGAGAGGAGATCATACAATGCTCTCATTATCCCTACTAGGCATACAGTTCTCAACCAACTTCATTCCAGGCTGCCCAAAACTACATTGAGACTACGACCAACAGGAGAGTGAAGCCTTTAATAGACTTTCGTTATGCTGAATCTTGATGCAGCAAAGAATTTGGTTGTTAGTTTATAAGTTTGGTCACATCAGCTTAAGATACCAGACAAGCTCTTGACAAACTTTTTTGGGGGGAAAATGTTTTTGTGAAAGCTTTGATACCAACCCCTCTACTTAGAAGCTGAGAAAGCTCTTCCTCTTATTCACCAGTAAAATCAGGAAAGAAAAGACTTGATACTCCTTTTATTGCTTAAGCTAAAATAAAGCAAACCCCCACCCCACACACACACACTTTTTTGGCAATTAAATCATCCTAATCTTTTCCTACACACCATACAAAAGCCTATAAAGGATATAAGCATCTTTGTTTTTTGCAGGACACCTTGAAAACTCATCTTGTACCTGACAATATGCTGAACGCTTAAGTCTTTTAGCTCCAAACTTCTATTGTTTTCAGCTAACCTTGTGGTACAGGAACAATCCTTTCTAAAATTTAGCTCCCAGCGTGTCTACACATTCATTAATGTGCAGTAGTTACTGTGCATTTAGTTTAGTACTTGCTTAATGAAGTACTGAAAACATCATGTCAGAGTCAAATGTGCCACCCACAGATCACGCCTTTACAAGAGAGAGAACTCTAATTAGATTGTCCTTTCTGGACAAAAGTAAGGTGATGGTGTTGCTACTTTGTGTAGCAATTGCCCACTCTACTGTCTTATCATCATGAATAAAGGGCAAGCTCTTGGCTTCCTAGCTTGGCCACGTCACCCACGATTACCATATGTTCCATATTGGAGGTTAATAAGAATTGTTTTCATCTTTTCTTCCAGAAAAAAATGTCACATGGCTTAGATCCATAACCTCTTCATTTAATAACAGAACAAAAAAGAAAAAGCTAACTTGACCTGTAGTATCAAAATTTGACTATGTATCCTGAGTACAAAGTTGTACTCTATTTAATTTTAATTAGTGTTCTTTTGCAATTAGACAAATGATGAAAAGCACATGGGGACTGCCAAGGTGAATCAAGAGCATCTAGTAACTGTAACATAATACTATGAAAGAGAACAGGTTATCATTCTCAGATATTTTCCATATGCTGTTAAACTGGACTAAGAAATGCATTTTTTGAGAGAGTCCAAATTAAAATGAAGGGAGAGAGCATGCACTGTTTGATTATTTTTTCTTGGAAAGCCTTGATTGCTTATTATTACTCTGAATAGCTACATATTATTATGTAATATGAAGATGATCAGCCAGCTGGTCCGAGTGCGGTGGTAAGGTTTAGAACAGAATTTATATTGCATGCAATACATGCAGATTGGCTGAGCAACAGCACATCGAAAACCCTAGTCTCCCATGACTTACTAGTGATCAAGAATGTACTTTCCAACTCATTTTTGGATACTTACAATGTGCCTGAATTCTCTTGAGGCCTGTGACTCAGTCACTGATGATGCAGTACCCACAAAATTTGGGAGAAAAAAAAAGAAAAAAGGAAAAAAATGAAATCATCAACTGTAGCTGTAAACTGTCACCATACCACAAAAAGCCATTATTACTTTGCTTTTCAAGTTTATCTGACAGTTTTAGAAAAATACATGCTATGTTAGAAAGACTGCAAGATGCACACTGAATAAAATGAGAACATATAATTTCCATGTCACAGAATCATAGGAAAGTAGGGCTGGAAGGGTCCTCTAATCCAGCCCCTTGCTCAAGACACATATTTGCTATATGCATAGATAATTTTTATGGGGTTTTGGTTGTAGCTGTAGCTGTGTTGGTCTAAGGACACAGGCTGGTAAGGTTCTTTGCGTACATATAGTATCTTTTATTAGACTAAAAATCTAGATAATTTTGATATCACTTTAACAACTTTGGGCTATGAAAGATGAAAAACAACTGTAATCTTTCTTTTTATGCTTGTGGCTTTCACATATTCGCAGGTTTGCTACATAATCAGTTAATGCAATTGCCAGAAATACTCTCAAACTGCTTTGGAACTGAAGTCATAATCACTAGAAGACAGATTGACTGCAGTGCCTGACGTGCAACAGCAAATACTGTGGTCCTGGTAACAACAGGTTCCCACAAGCTACCACCCTGGTTTCATAGTTTCATAGTTAGCAGGGTCAGAAGGGACCTGAGCAGATCATCAAGTCCGACCCTCTGCCATGGCAGGAAAGAGTACTGGGGTCAAACGACCCCAGCAAGGTGATTGTCTAGCCTTGTCTGAAAGACCCCCAGGGCAGGAGCCAGCACCACTTCGCTTGGAAGTTGGTTCCAGATCCTAGCCGCCCTGACAGTGAAGTAACGCCTCCTGATGTCTAATCTGAATTTACCCTCTGCCAGTTTGTGACTGTCACTCCTAGTCACTCCTGGTTAGTGCTCCGGGGAACAGGGACTCCCCCAATGCCTGATGGTCCCCTCTGACTAGTTTGTAACAGGCCAATAGATCCCCCTCAGCCTTCTCTTGTGGAGGCTGAACAGGTTCAGGTCCCGTAGCCTCTCCTCGTAGGGCCTGCCCTGCTGCCCCTGCTCATGCGAGTGGCCTCCTCTGGACCCTCTCCATGTTGTCCACATCCCTCTTGAAGTGCGCTCTCCAAGTTGTCCACATCCTTCTTGAAGTGGGTACAATTAACAAAAAAATTAATAATTTGTTTTTGCATACAATGCCTGTAGAATGGCTATTCTTCAAGATACATTTGACACTGGGAATCTCACTCCTTTCCCTTGTGCTGGGGTTATTTTTAATTTCCCTGACAATTATACCTGCTCATTGTGGATATTTATGGACCTGATGCCTCTGAAAATAGCCTTTCAGTTGCAAAGAACAAAACAAATCAACGTGCTTTTGGCAAACGGGAGAGATTTATTTGACAGCAGCCACTGATTAGCTGCTGTTTGTGTCCGGCTGACTGGAGGCAAGTCTGAAGAAGTTGTGCTCCGTGTGCTACCGCCCCACCAGGCACCCCCCTTTGCCAGACCCTCTCGTGCAGAGGCCGAACTCATATACGTGACTCAAACCTTGAACGAGGCAAGGATTGGGAGTGGGAATCTTTTCTTGGCTTGACTGCACTGGTTTCACTGAAGCACAGACTGGATGAAGACGGCTTCACCTTCCAATGCTTGCCTACATCTATCCCAATCAGGCGGCTGGGCCAAGACCCACCGCAATCCTTGCCTCGAGTATGATTCCCAGAACACCACAGCTCTGCCGTGACTCCAAACCCCACTAAATCTTCCCAAAAATGCCTAGCCTCCTGCCATGTATTTGGTAGCCGTGTTGATCTGGGACAAAAAGTAATGCCTAAATCTAGAGCTCTTGGTTCAGAGATGATCCCGTTTATTAGACCAACTAAGAAATTGCAAAAAAATGGGTGTAATAGAAAAATGGTGTTGGTCTTTTTGTCTCAGACCAACATGAATGCCTCGTGCCTCCCGAGGCTGGGGGGGCACGGCGACCACCTGCAAGCGGTGGCGGTGGCATGGCGGCGGCAAGCCCAGACCACGTGCAGGTGGCTGTGGCAAGTGGGGTGGCGAACACTGAGTGGCAACCACTCGCGGATGCCACTGGCAGCTTCAGCAGCAGGGGGGGTGAGTGGCAATTGCCCCTAGATGCCACTGGCAGCGTTAGCGGTGGCCAATATTTTTATTTTTTTTCAATTTCTGTTGGTCTAATAAAAGGCATCATGAACGCCGTGT